GTAGCATGGTTAGGAAAGGGGGCTCCTCCATAAGCCTAGGAAAGCTGCTGCCAGTTGGAGTGGGCGGGACTAATGTCCACACAGATGGGTAGATTGACCAATGGTCAGACTCTGCCAAATGTGCCAGCATTATTGAAGTGGCACTAGCATAGACCAATACGAGTGCAGTGCTTGCTAGTGCAGTGTCATTCCTCTCCACTCCACCCAGCAGCAGCTCTCGTAGGTCTAAGGAAGTGCCCTGTTCCTAAACTGGCTATCTGATACTTTTAAACTGAAGATACCAGGGAATGAACCAAGCATGACCAACACAGAGTACCAATGAAAAAACCAAGTTGAATGGTATCCAAGCCTATCTGCTGGGACCACTGGTTTCCCTTCTTCGCTGTGAAGAACCTGAAGACATTTTTCCTTGATGGAAATTCAACTTACAAGAAGGTATCAAATTTAACATGCAGTTGAGAAAATGCTGCACTAAGTAATACTTGATTGAGGTGTATAGTCCTCTCCATCCTGAAGGCTCAGGGAAGCTGCCACTTTTTTTAAAAAAATGGTTTTTTAAAAAAAAAATCTGCATTGAAAACAGGTGTATGACAAGGATGGATCATTTCAGTCCTTTGTGATCCACCATAAGTGTTGACTTAAACAGATGTTGATTAAACCTATGCAAATAAATAGTAAGAGTAACTTATATTTTATTGCTTCCTTGCACAGAGATGTTACTTTCTGAGCAAGTGCAACCATATTTACTCAGATGTATGTGCCCCTGCCTGCCATGATACTCACTCTCAGGTATGTGTACTTAAGATTGCCAATTCTTTTCATGTTATAAAAGGGGGCCTGGATCCACCTATCCAGAACTTTGAGGCCTCCCTGAGAACCCAGGTTGACTCCAGCTTCTTGCATGGGACTCCAGGTAGCAGCATATGGCACTAAGGCAAATTTTATCCTGCTTGCAAAACACCTCCACTGGCCACTTCCCATCCTCTTTCACCCTGATAGTGCCATCCTACAGCTGGGGTTGGATGAGGCAGCTGCTGCTGCCCCTGAAGCCCTGACTGCAGAAGCTTTAGAGCTCCTCCAGTCCCCAGACCCAGACGCCTGCTCCCAAGAGGGGAGGAAAATGGTAACCCAGTGGCCAAACTCAGGAACTGCAAACATGCCCAGCCCTGTGGGGCTTTGGCAAAGCTGTTCTAGAGCACTCACTAGCATCCAGGACTCCTGACAATAACAAGAACAGTAACAGGAAAAACACTTCCCCCCACATCAAAAAAAATACAGTGAATAGCCATGATAATAGTTGCTGTTTTCATGTCTCTTGCATATCTGCTCAAAGATCCAAAGATGCAAATGTCAACATGAAAAAAGTGGGGGAATGAGCCTGCGGAGAGATGTTTTGCACTCTCAGAGAGGGAGAGTGGCTCCTGTAGGCAGGCTCCTCTCCATTTAAGCTGGAAGAAACTTAAGTGGAATAAAGTCTTGACCTTGACTAGCCCGCTCATGTTGAAAATGATCAGCCTTGTCTACACGAGCTATATTTGCTTCATTGGCTGATTTGACTACATTTTTCCTGTTAATGTCGACCAGCTGTGTGTACGCACGGAACACAAACATACAATAAACAGATTTAGAATCCTGCTCATAATATCATGGCCAAACCTAGCTGTGAAGTGACAAACAATAATGAACAAGAAAATGGAGTGAGGGGTGGGAGGGGAACTCCAGGGAGAGGACATTCCAGGATCCTGAGAAAGTTCCACGGGAAACCTTGGCGCAGTGGAGCCGGTTGGAGAGGCAAATTAGCCTTGATGAGGGAAAGATGGGAAGAAGGAGAGCCTGTTCTTCGGAGGCTGGAGAATGGATTGCTTGCCTGCAGGGCTACCCAGCCTAACAATCTCCGAGGCAGGTAAGGCATTTCTAAATCGGTTAAGTGTTGTCAGACATCCCAAGCTGAGAAGAGCGGCAACCTGCTCTCATTTGTAATATGCTTTGTAGATGATTATGTGAAACAAAGACTTTAAACTGAAACCAGGTTTTCAGCTGGGGAAGAATCCAAAGATGTTCTCTGTGAGGGAGAAGAAAGCCAGATGGCATCTGTGGGTATAGTTAAGGGTTGCACAGAGTAAGTCAATAGGAAATGAGCTGGGGGGTGGGGGGAACCATAGCCCACAGTTTCATTATTGGCAAGCGAACCCTCCAGGGTGATTGCAAAAGAGCTTTATGGGTTTCTTTCCCTCCCATGGTGGACTTAAATATTTGTTTCATAACCCAGGCACAAACTTATATCCAGGGGTTTATTGGCTGCTTAGAAATTATTTGCTATATTAAAAATGCAGTTACTCAAGATATTGCAGCAAAAAGTGCTGGAACTATGATACTAATTAAAAGCACAAACACAAACACTCACACAGACACCCTACATACAAACTTAGAGCTGCATAATTTGACGCTGTAAGAGGTCACATAGAAGGAATCAAAACCTTACACTTATATGAACAAATTAAAGATGGGTTTGATTAATGAAGGGTCTCACACATAGGGCTTGTTCAACAGAAAAAGCTAAATTCCTTATACTGCAAAAGCTAGGAGGCTTCATATTTGCACTTTCAACAGTGAAGCTATGCCCTATACAAGCTGTTATTTCTGTCTATGTATCTTATATTCTTCATCATCTCTGCATTTAACACTGAAATAAGTACTTCAAGATACATGTACTTTGAAATACATAAAGATGGATATGGACATGTCTACCAACCCAATTCTGTTTTGGGTCAATGTCAGTTTTCTGATCTCCATATCATGCAAATAACAGGGCCACATACAAACAATGAGATGGAGCTTTGCTATTGCTATTGATAAAGCAATAGCACTACTGAGATCAGAAGTAATATAGAGGCTATGAGACTAAGCTTTGACTCAGGAAGCACCTGCTCTGAATTTTATCTCTGCCATGAACTCATTGGGTGCTTTAAGCAAGCCTCTCCTGGCCTCAGTCCTCCTTGCCCCCTTCTGTAATATGGAGATATCATCCTCACCTCTCTTATAGTATTGTTGAAAGATTTATACTATGTGTGAAGTGCTCAACATTCATTCATTCATATCCCACATTTTTTCTGTTCGAGGAACTCAAGGAAGCTATATTTCTCCTCCTCTCCCTCTTCTCAATCTTATCCCCACAACAACAACCCTGTGAGGTAGGTTGGGCTGAGAGTCTTTGACTGGCCCCAAGTCACCCAGTTGGCTCCATGGCTGAGTCTCTGATTCTCCCTCTTAACCACCCCACCACACTGCCTCTCAAATATTTGGACTCACTGCATAAATTCACTGTTGCTGCTATTAAGCATAAGAGATCTCCTCTTCTTCAGGTTATTATTGTATTACCAGCCATGGATCTCCTAACATCAAGGCATGCAAGGTAGCACACATCCTTCTTCCCTGTCCCCCCCAAACTCAAGTTTTATTATCACAGCACTCCTGTGAAGCAGGCCTGACCGAGAAACAGTGGCTGACCCACAGAGCATCAAGGCCACCTGGGGATTTCCACCTTGATCTCCCCATTTCTGTTCTAACTAAGACACTACCCTGACACTCGTGCTAGGTAGGGTTAGTTCTCTCAACCAAGTGGGCATGCTTCCTAACCGCACTTTTCCTTCAGCACATAAAAGCAGCTAAGTTGTTGCATAATTAGCAAAAACAATTAGCAACACCCCTGAAATCCTTTGGCTGGTGATGGTCGCTGGCTGTATCATTTCAAAAGCCCACAAATTAGTCCAACTGGCCTGAGTACAGAGCTGTAAGGTTACGTCCGATGGGGCTCATCTCACACAGCTGTCTTCTCAGAAGTAAATAACAGCACAGAGCAGCAACCTGCCACCTGGTTTCGATTTGGGAATGTGCATTTCAGTTCTACACTGTTGTTGACTCCAAGACTGAGAACTCCCCCTGCTTTTTCCGACTCTGAGGGCAATGTCAGTATTTTAATTCTGTGTGGCAGCCAGGAGGGTGCTTTTTATCTATACTGAGTGAACTGTCCCCTGCCTGTGTCAAACGTGGGGCTGCCAATAAATGAAATGGTGAAAGCTTTACAAATGCTTGAGTTTGTTTCCATCTGATATGCAACAGCAGCTCAGCCACAAAGGCAAATGCAGTGAAATTTGCTGCAAGAGTTTATTGTCCATCCGATGGAAGCAGGGAATCAAAGGCAATGACATTTCCCTGTTCTGTCAGAATCTCGAAACCCATCCCTAATACAGTCTCAGAATTACAATATTAACTTATATGACACTGTGATTTTAAAAGACGTTTTCTCAGTTTAAGACAGAAAATGCATTGCCAAACTCCTTAAAATGTTCCTACAATTAAAGGTAAAAGGTAAAGTTAGAGGTTTCCCCTTGATGTGAAGTCCAGTCATGCCTAACTCTAGGGGGCGGTGCTCATCTCTGTTTCCTAGCCGAGGGAGCCAACGTTTGTCCGCAGACAGTCTCTGTGGTCATGTGGCCGGCATGACTAAACACCGAAGTGCACGGAACACTGTTTACCTGCCCACCAAAGTGGTACCTTTTTATCTACTTGCATTTGCATGCTTTCGAACTGCAAGGTTGGCAGGAGTTCCTACAATTACACTTGCTAATATTTTATTTAATTAAGCCACCAAGATAAGAGAACTATCAGTCAGGTAACCCAAGCTCTATATTGTTTTGGAGAGCTACACACATCTTTTATCAATTTATGCAACTGTAAAATCGAAACCTGCGTGTACCCAAAGAAATCAGTAATAAAACCCCAGTGGTTAGCCACAGTACTTAATTTTATAGGTTAAGGGTTTTCTTTTCCTTCTTTTTTTTCAAGTAAAGGCATGAATGCCTTCAGAATTCCAACATTCCTCAAGTCCTGCTTTTCATTTGGGGTTGACAGGCAAAGTTCAGAACACATCATTATGGAGGTTCACAGTCACTGCTAAAGGTAACACTCATATTACAAATGAATTAATAGAAAACACTTACCTTCCCTACTAGCTTTCCTTTCCTATTCATGCAAAGGTAAAAGTCTGTCTCTTTCCCTTTGATCCGGACTTGACTGCCAAATGTGTCTGTTTCCACTAGAAGCTGGGCTTGTAAAGGAAGAAGGAGAAAAACAGAAACAGGCATTTACCGGACTGGTCATACAGCGAACGAGTAGAGAAGATGCCCTCCGTCTCCGCCCAAATCAGGGGTGAGGTGGAGAGCCTTCCTCTATCACTGTGGAGTGGGGAATCCAAAGGAAACACACATGTCCTTGTGATCTGCCCATAGCTTGACTACCAGATCAATGCAAGAGCAGCTGGACTTTTCATGGATTGACTGACAGGTAGGAAGGGCTACCTCTGTACTCCAAGGGGCTAGGAATAGGATGCATTTAAATCCATAAGACAAATCACATCTCTTCAAAGTAAGACATCTCACAGCCGTTGACTCCTCACTGTACTGTACACCACAAAAGCATGGATTCACATGTAACCTGAAAATGAAGGAAATTTAGCAGAGGGAAAAGCCTGAGGGCAAAGTTCTGATTACTGCTGTTGTTCTGCCTGCATAGCTAGACATCAAGCTAACGTGTCAAGCCTCCTTTGTTAAGCTGGAAAGGCAGGGGCCTGCAGCTGGATGGGTGACCACATGGGGAAGCAGAACAGGGAGTTGGACTTGATAGCCTTATAGGCCCTATTCTATCCAAGCTGAGCTGAGCCTGGCCTAACCTACCCTATCCAAGAGCCAAAAAAGGAATTAGTTAGAAGCCTGCCAAGTTCTGGGTGAAGCAGCCTGCTTAGGGTGGCATTGAGGGGCTAAGGTGAAGACAGGGACTGGTGTCTGAGAGGGGCAACAAGAGTTTTTAACAGATTGGTGCTAGCAAGCTGCAGTGGGGGTCATTTGGGTTCCACTTCGGGCAGCAAAATATCTTGGCCTGTCAATGGCTAGTAAGTTGCTAAGAGTAGAGTTGAAGCAGCTCAGGAAAACTTTTCTGAGCACAGTTCTGGGATGTTTCTTCTCACTCCCCTGTCCCTGAAAAGAAGGACACTTTACAGCATTTTCTCTGAATATTCTCTACCTTTTTTTTTTTTTCTGGTGGCAGTTGCCATTCCACCCTCTCCAAAACACATATTCACACAGCATGATAGAGGATGCCTGGTCTGGAGCATTGCGGAGGACCAGAAATAGTGGCACAGTTGTCAATATTTATTACTTATTGCATTTGGGTCCTGCCTTTTCACTTCCAAGGAACGTCAAGGAATCTTACATAATTCTCCTCTCAACAACCCTGGGAGGGAGATTGGGCTGAGAGTCTGTGGCTGGCCCAAGGTCACCCAGTTGGCTCCATGGCTGAGTGGGGGCCAGAACCCAGGTCGCCTGAGTCCCCGTTCTGAGCTCTCAACCACTACACCACACTAGTTCTCAGCAATATGGGTGCAGCCACCTCCTGCAACATCAGCCACAAATCAAACAAGATGGGGGGTGCAGGGAGAATGATCTTGTGCTACTACTGTCCCTCTTCCTTTTGAGTCCCAGCCCTAAGAAACTATTCACACATTCCTCTTCCCCCATTTTTTCTCCCATAGATTGGATGGAGAATTTTAAGGGGCCATTCGGGTACACTATGGTGCTAACCCTGCCCTTCAGGGGCGCCGTCATTTGTTCAGCCTGCTCTGCCAACAGAAGGGACCCTCCTTGAGTACCTTGCACTGTGCCCACCGCAGGGGCAATCTCATATGGGAGATCGCAGGGGTGCCGCAATGAAGAACCATGGCTCCCGTTACATGATTTACTTATTCCTACTAAGTGCAATTCTAGTAACCACAAGAAAAATAAATTTCTGTTGGATTTGCACATGTGAAGCAGCAAAATATGGCAATGTTTCCTCTGAGTAGAAATGAGTACTCCTCTTCATCTCATCCACCCACGGAATAACACACTGAAATGAGCCTTTGCTTTTCTAGCATGCTAGATAGGGAGCCCTCTGTGTGTGTGTGTGTCCTGTATTCATTCACTTTATTATTTATTTTATAATAGAAATAAATAAACATTCATACACACTTGTCCAAGCATTAAAAATTCTACCATCTGGTGCAGCCCTGGGGATGAGGCACCATATAAAACAGGGACTCTGAGCTAATATGCATTCACAAGACCTTAACAATTGTTAACAATGGCAACACTCTTGGTTGTCCTGGAAGTCCTGCAATAAAATGGTCCGGATTGCAGCCAGGGGGCTGGATCCTTCCACAGGTTATGCCATTCCATTCCTCACCCGCCTGCCATGACCACCAGCCAGCATCCCCTGGCCACTGAGCATGTCTGGCCATCACTGAGCAGCTTTGTTTGCCTCTCTACCCTGGAAGATTCCAGGTTTTTTAATATAGTTGTTTTGTACATAGGAAAAGCATAAGGGTTTCCTAAGCCTATTCATGTCTTTCTCATGTGTAGGAATAGTGCCACTTTCAACCACCATCAAGATCTGGGGCCTCTGATGGCCACCACTGAGGGACACTTGCTTGGTGGCAACAAGGAGAAAGGACTTTTTAGTGGTGGCCCCATGGTTATGGAGTGAGCTCCCCACTGAGACCCACCTTGTACCAACCTTACTATCTTTTCAGCATCAGGTTAAGCCTATCATATGCTTAAGATTACTGGGGATTTGTTAGCAACCTAAAACAGGTCTTAACATTTCTTGTTTAATTTATTCTGCTTGTTTGCTCATGTTTTAAATTTGGCTTTATATTTTGCATGGCAAACTTTTTTAAAATAATGGTTTGACAGCATTTTTATATTTTGCTCTAGACAGCTTCAGGCAGCCCAGAGAGCTTCAGCTATTGGGTGGTACAGAAGCTAAATAAATATATTACTAAATAAGGATCCACACTTAAAAAAGGAATGTGCAAGTGGCATAAAGGACTGGGATGGAAAACCATATGCCCATGCACCAATTTAGTCTGCCTAGCTGGCCCATAACTCCCAGGGGGGGGGGGGCGTCACAGGGCTTTGCCCTCCCACAAGCACCACCCCTTCAGGGCAAGCTGGGAGAGAGATTCCCCTTGTTGTCTCTGATAATTAATTGAAGAAGCAGCAGGAATAACAGCAGGGATTCCCTTAGTGTACCAGTCACCATCCCAACTAGGAAGGCAAGTTGTAAGCTTAGAGCTTCCCAGACCCACATCCTTCCTAGTGGGGAGATGCATGGAGCAGATGACTTTGCCCTGGCTGGTGCACTGGGAGGAGGATCGCTCCCCACCTGGCAAGTCGGAGTGGGCTACTTTGCCCACCTAGCATTCTGCACGCAGGAGCAAGGCAGAGGACTTGTGAAGCTGCTTCCTGTGCAGGTGGAGGGAGGCTCCTTCTCCTCGCCTCTCAGCTGTGGTGACTTTGCTCCATGAGGGCTTTGCACACTCATGTGAGACTCCCCTACTTGAGGAAAGCCTGTGCAAAGTGAGGCCACCTCCCTCATCAAGCCGCTGGATGGAAGAGGGCTCCACCGGAGATCGCGAGTGGAGCAGCTCTGAGCCAAACACCACCCAGTTGTAGTTCCCCATTCCTGACGGATGGCATTCTGGAGGTCTTAAGATCGTCAAGCTCTGATGCAGAGGACACCAGCCACTGTGGAGCAAAGGTGCTGAAAATGGTCAGTGGAGTTCTTATTATACTACACAGTCTCATGTTGTACAGATGAATTGTGTGTAGGTAGATCAGAATTGGCCCAAACAGATCACAGAGTTTCAAGATGGACCACAACAGACATGACTGACAGATGCACTCACCAAAGTGCAGTGCCCAAAGCTGACAGCCCCACGGAAATACAACCTGCAGTTCTCAAGCAAACAGTCCTGATGTGAAGAAAATGTCAGTCTATCCTAAATCAATATGGATTTGATATTGGAGAAGGTACGGCAGGTGGCAGTGATGGAAAATGTGTGAGTGTGAAGGGTGAGAAAGACCCTCAAGGAGCAGAGAAGGACATTTGCTCAAGAACTTGGAGGAAACCTTCTGCTGAAGCCCACAAGAGCCGCTGCAGGTCGGAATGGACAACACCAGGCAAGGCAGACAAGTGGTCCAGCCCAGCAGACAGTGGCTTTGTACATTGACTGACACAGGTGCAAATTAGCTTCTCTGTTTGTCCACCAGCATGTGTCAAGGGCTGACGAGAGTCCAATCCTTTGCCTTTCTTCTGCTTAGACCATTGATTGTCAGATAAAAACAACTGTTGGCAAACTTTGTCCTACAGATTGAACACAAAAAATCCATACTGACAAAAAGACTTTGTATTATCCTCTTGAGCCAAGCGCTTGATTTCAATCATTTAAGTAAAACTGGTCTGCCTCTTTTAAAATCCACATTTGTCTCCCTGTTCCAAAACATTTTCTTGAAGGCTGGGTAGTTTCAAAACTACAAGATATATCACCTCACTTTCAAACTAAAACAAGTATGAGTAATACCCAGGCTGATTTTAATTTGAAAAATATCACCTTAAAAAGATGTTGGTTCCCTGCTGTGAAAATTAAAAACACCTGGATGGCGTGATTTCCAATAATTAATTTAGCTTTCCTTTGACACTGTTGCTAATTAAAATATGATACCCCCTTTTTTCAAGTAAAGAATTTAAATAAATTTTAAAGAGCTAATAAAAGATAATGCAATAATTTTGGAAATAAATGAAAATTACTATTTCTCCTACTTGCCTGGGCTACAAAATGCTATAGGTGTACTTTTATACCAACAAGAACTAATTAAGTCAGGGCAAAACTGAAGGTAGCAGTTCATGGGAAAATATCAGTTAACTATATTCATCCGCACAAAAAGAAGGGCCAGGAGGCACCATGCAAAGGGTTCGAACACAAAATATATAAAATGAGAGTTATATTTCCAAGGTCATGACTGTGAGCTGGAGGGAAGGGGTGTCACCGGGCTGTGTGTATAGGAGCCAAGGCAACCAAGCAGCTGACCCTACGAATCATGGCTTACATTCAGCATCAGTCAGCCCAAATCATGGGCTGCAGCTCCCATTTTGTGATGCAGAAATACAGACAGGCATGCAAAGGTGGAAAACAACCATGGGCAGGTCCTGACTTACTTTCCGAATCCAGTTCCA